TTGGCACCTATCAAACACCAAATCTGCTAACACATTGTCACTCTCAGACTTACCAACTCTTAGAGTGTTGAGACATAAAGTTCTTTTATTCATAAATGACCTAGCTCGTGCTTCTTTGTTAGAGTAACCCTAACAGGCTAAGACAGACCTCAACAGAGCTTGTTAACTCCCCCCATAAATTCATTCATCTTAGGAGAAGACCACTGTTTCCCAGATCATACATAAGTGTCCCCGACAAGGTTCTGCTGTGTCCACCAAGTTGAATCTTGGAGGAGGCAGCCATCATTTTGTCCTGGAGTGGAAAGCGTGTTGTTCTACCCCTTCCAGGCTGCGTGTATTTATGCGTCGTCTCCAGTCCAAGTTGTTCTGCATTCATCAGGATGGATAACTGCTGTATCCATACACCTTCAAGCACACTCACAGTGGAGAGCCCTGTTCATTCGGGAAAATTAACAAAAACAGTTGCTGCTAAGGAGGTGTGTGTGTGTGTACATAGTGTGTACGTAAGCATGTCGTGTAAGTTAAGAAGATAGCACAATTCACTCACGAGATAACAGGTGATAAAAAGGAGCAGATATTTCTTCCTGTGCCCTGAGATCACTCGTGTCCTATCCTCTCTGACTTCCCCATCCGGGGCAGCAGTACTTGGCTATTGAGAGAATGAACATTATTGAAGCAAATGTTCCGCCTAACTGGCTGTGTGACCTCAATATTCTGTTTTACCTCTCTGATTTTTTGCCTATAAAAATGAAGGTGATTACCTCATGGGGTTGCTGTGAGGATTAAACAATTAAGTAATGTGATTAGAACAGAGTCTAGGGCATAATAGCGCTCAAATATATGTTATCTAATATCGCCTTTACAAACCTATTAATAACTGCTCGGCTTAGTCCCAAATGTTAGGAAGATTGCACTCGCTTGCCAGAGGCTGTGAATGGAGAGTATGTATAAGTGCTTGAAGATGGCTAGAGCTGGGATTGGAGGAAGTTCCCAGAAGGTTAGCTTCCAACTTATTTGCAGTCCTAAATGTCCTGTCACTCAAGCAATCAACAAGCTGTATTCAAGACTGTATTCAAGAGGCCAAGCAACCTGTCAGGGATGAAATGAAGATGAACAGGTCTGCACATCTGTACTAGCACGTGAGTGGATGGGCCTGACAATGGCACAGAAAATGACCTAGAGACGTGTAGGTTGTCATGGGAACTCACAGGAAGGCACTGCTGGGGCAGGTATATGGGGAACTGGGCAGGGGGACAGGCTAAAGAAAGAGATGCCCAAGGCTTCAGTAATGGAGAAGGCAGAGAAGACATTGGGGTGGGGGCAAGTATGAGTCTGGAATGTAAAATGAGAAGACAGAGATGATGTAATAGGCATTTGGAGGGGCCCATAATCAGTTTCCTCTCCTGGATTAGATGTCCTGTAAAATGGTCTCTCTTTGCCTCTTCAATCATCCCTATCCATGTAGCAGGGAAACAAGGAAATCCTGCCCTTCTTACCCGGGTAACTGCCTGGGTTCTGCCAAAGTCCGAAATAAGGAGTGGAGAGGACTATCTTCCCATATCACTGTGCTCTTAAATTGTGATGAAATGCCCTCAATCTCTCTCCTTTCTATACCAACCTCTACTAGCAATATGGATTCTAGTCATATGGGCACTGACATACTGCCTCCTTGGTCCTAAGTTGTAATAAAAAAGATCCCAGGAGTCCCTGGATCCCCTGAGGATGCAGACTGGAGCGAGTTCTGTGGAAGGCTTCTTTGGGGTGAAACTTGGAATCTGTACGATGAACCACTAGGTAGGACTATGATGGGAGAGGGGAAGGGGAGAGGAGTCGTCTCACTTTGCTCTTCTCTCTTCTCCTTGTCAACTCTTCTACTGCCTCCAGATCCCATTTTCATTATCATTAAAGGTATATGCAGAAGGAAAAAGAGAGAGAGAAACAAAAGAAAGAGAGAGGGAGGGGGGATGGGCACATGGATAGAAAATTCCGAATCTTATGACTAACATGAAGACATCGGTGTTCTTCCCTTACTGGCTCCTCTGCACAGATGTCCCCATGGTGGTTTGACTGAGGTGTCCCCCACTGTCTTGGGTATTCAAGTACTTGGTCTCTCCAGTTGGCGGCACTGTTTTGTTTGGTTTAGGAGGTGTGGCCTTGCTATTGGAAGTATGTTCCTGGGGGCAGGCTTTGAGAGTTTAAAGGCACCTGCCATTTCTAGTTTGTTCTTGTAGATGCGTGCCTACAGTTCAAGATGTGAGCCCTCAGTTTCCTGTTGCTCCTGCCACGCTGGCTGCTCATTGTCATGTCTTCCTACCCATGAAAGCCTCTTGCCCCACTGGAACCGTGTGCCCAGATAAACTCCTTAGTAAGTTTCCTTGGCCGTGGTTTTAACACAGCAACAGAGAAGTAGCTAATAGTCCCTTTACCAGAGTAAAAGAGGCAATAAAAAGCCAAACAGACCCGGGCCCTGCTTCCTGAATGTCTTCCAGCAGTACTGGCTTCCATACCCTCAAAGGTCCCATTCGTAGAACGTGGACTAACACGAGGCAACACCTATGCTCCTGGAGTCCAAGGTGAGGGGAGCCTACTGCCAGCTGGACAGTTCTCCAGCTCTGCTTCTGGGCTGGGCTGCTTATCTATAAAGTGGGGGTGTTGGCGAGAGCCAGACCTAGCAGAAATGGAGTGAGAACTGTATGGATCAAGCCCAGGACAGATAGTGGCACACAGCAAGCGCTCCAAAAGGGACATATGCAGGTAATAGGGGTGACGAAAAGGTGTGTATGAGCGTGTTTGAGAAACAAAGCAGCAGGGGCCTTATTGAGTGTTTCACGGTTCATGCTCCGGTGTCCTGGAAGACATCCAAGACCCAAGAGTACATGATGCTGAGCTCAGAGGACGAGCTCCAAGCTCCACATGGCAGGAGGGGATGATGAGTCTTTGGAAGTTTCAGACCAGAGTCTCCAGAACAGGAACTGGAACCCAGTCAATTCCATCTCTTTGCCTCTGGCTCCTGGGTTTATGGACGTCCCTTCAAATGGATGATTTCACGTGGCTTATGGTGGGGTGACTTCCAGGGGATCATGGTTCAGGGGTTTTGTAGGGGTCTCATGACTGAGAAACTTCACATGGTCTTAATTGAATTTCAGCAATCCGCCCACCAATATAACGCTTGGAAAGGTGGCCAGTCAGGAGTTTTAAATATTGCCAACAGCTAAGACACCTTTTTTTGCTAATTTCACTAGCTTCTACAGATGTATTAAAGAAATGTCCCCTATTCTCACAAAAGTCCCAGCTCCCGTTCTGTCAGTGGATTTTAATTCATAGGCCTAGCAACCACGCTGCTCAGTTTACCTCCATCTTTAGCCAATCCAGGTGTGCCCAGGGATCCATGGAGTCAACTCCAGGGAAAGATTAGGCAGTTTCCCTTGTCCAGATGCTCATCGGAGCCTCCCCCATTTTTTCCATAAAAGAAACCTTACAAGTCTGTTAAAATTCATTTTTTTAACTCACCTATTCGTTTGACTGTGTTTTTTCCTTCTTTCTCCTCAGATGACTTCATTGTGTTGCCTGGCTGTGTGTAGAAAGGGGCAGTGAAGGTAGATTAGCTGGATGCTCGCTAAATGGTTTACTTCTGGTTAGCAACTCAGGTTAAACATTCAACAATGGATGCTGGTGTGATTTGAAATTTACCCACTGTGGGTAAATGTTAACTTACTCTGTTTTCCCCACTGTGTTCTCTATACTTCTTGCCCATGGCTGAGTCTAAAGGCCCTGACACCATAGCTGAGGTCTAAGGGCCCTGACACCATGGCTGAGGTCTAAGGGCCAGGACATCACGGAGGCTTCCTGGGCACTTTCCAGAGCTTATTTTTACAATCTATAACACAACAGCCTCAAATATAAACACAAACACAGCCAGCAGCAACGAGAGCATCTGCATGGGTCAGGGAGCTAAAACAGAGCCCCAGAAACGGGCTTGCCATTTTCCCTGGCAGCTTCACAGCCACCTTGGAAAGCTTGGGTCCGCCTCGTCACTGCTGGCAAGGTGGGCTGTGATTGGTCAAAGACAGTGGCAGCAAAGCAGTGGGCTTTTAATTAAAGACATAGGAGCCAAGGCTCCGAAAACACCCCTTGAAGATCTGCCTTCATATACTTGCGATCTCCTAACGACCCAGCAAACAACAGTTAAGGTTATCAGTCTTTTTAGCACAGGAATTTCTTGTGACATAAAGGTAGTGACGCAGGTTTTTCCTTCTTTCTGTACTTCGCAATACCTTGAAAAAGAAAGCGCTTTCTTCTCTTCCCAGTTTAAAGTGGTTGTTGTTTTTGCCATGGTGATTATACGACCTGATCCTTCCAGGCGAGCCTGCTCCTCCCCAAGTTCTCATTAGATCTGACACTAGAATTAATGTAAACGTACCTTGGTCGAGGCCATATTGTGACTGACTCACATGCAGGAAGAATTTCTAACGTGGAGTCTGAGCCTGCTAAGCGCGGTTGCTATGGAGACGGTGTGAGAGATTAATTAAGGCTAGAACAGATGTTGTGAAGTGTGTGGAGTACACTGTTTGCTGTTAGTAATTAAAGAGGGTGTGTTTGGACGTGAGAGGAGCAAAACTGAGGTAGTGGAATAAAGCAGACAAAGCGCTGATCATGTGATCCTTTCCTCCCGCAACTCACCAGCAATAACCCCGCTGAGTTCACCCACCCAGGCCAGACAGAACAATTACTTGAACTGGCCAAATAGTCTGTCCAATCTTCCTTTCTTGGTCTGATTTCTAAGCTGCTGTTAGGATTCAGGCATTATGCTGGCTTGCCCTGTCATCTGGCAGGATGCACCCAGCCCAGGGTCCTAGTCTGTAGGCAGGTGCAAAGGTCCCTTTAAGAGACCAGCCCCATCTACTCCTGCTCTCTTCTGCCCTCTTCCTTTCCGCCATTTCTAGAGGACACAGTTTTCTGTCCCTCTCTATCTCTCTCTCTTTTCTCCCCCCCCCCCCATCTCTGTCTCTTTCTCTCTTGTTCTGTCTTTCCTCCCCCATTTCATCTCAATAAACTCCACATTCGAGCTCTGTCTGTATGGCGTATTTGTCTCCCGCCGGAGGCCCTCACCCACCGCGGGACCTTCCGGGGTCCCTCTCGCTCCGTCATCATAACACTTATGTATCAATCATCTGTCTGGACACCTGAAGATCAAGCTGGACTGTCGGTGGTTTTTCAACTGCCTGGCAGGGAGTTTACACACTGAAGTTAGTCATCCAGACTGCTAGGCGTACTGTTAGTGGTGCCTTGTCTACCGAGGGGGAGACTGACTTGTCCACTGTCAGGGGCCAACTGTCATGGAGGTTTTCAAGAATAGAAAGTGAATTAAGTACCAATCCCATTCAGGTTTCAGGGTAGACTAAATCTTTTGATTAAAATAGAAACAACAATAACAACACTGTATTGTTTACTTTGACCTGAATTAAACGTTAGTATCAAGATGAGAACAGCTCTGGGATAGGAGCTGACCCATGGTGGTGAGCTTTCTCAGGGGCCGGGTTTCCTGCCGAACATCTGGGTGGCGTTTGGAATGGGGTAGTGAGACCGAAACAGAGATTTCCAACTCGGAGTTTAGCAAACTGGGGTCTGCTTGCATCCTATTTAACAGTCCCTCTGAGCAGCATCCCCACACTGCCTCCTCCAGGCCGCCAGGGAGTAGTTAATGGCTGGAAATAGCTCTAGGCTTTTCCTCGGGGTGGGGGCAGCAATTTTACTTGGGCTGGCATCCTTATTTCTTTGTCTCACAGAAGTAGAAGAGGAGTGGTTTGAAGACAGAGGAGTCAGAGAGCAGCCTAGAAGAACTCTTATGGTGTGGGGCTGGGGTGGGGCTCATTACCCTGGTGGTAGAAACTCGGCTTCCGACAGGTGCACAGAAGGCCCTAAGGTCTGAGGGGTCACAAATGGGTGTGTTGTTGGGCGAGGGCACAGGCTCTTAAACTAATCTTGGTGTCTGCTCATCTCTCCCTTCCTTCTTCTAGGCTTCCCTTTTAATAAAGTACCATCTTCAGGAGACACCTATCTTAGAACAGGTCAGCTCGTTTCCAGGTGTATGCTACTGAAAAATAAATCACAGAGCCAGAGAGAGGACAAATTGGATCCATGGGAATTCGTCACCAGCTTTATTCCTGCAGATGACCTAAAGCTCACCTGCTCTGAATCCTGGTCATTGAACTTGCTCTGCTTCTCCTTTCTCCTCTCATTTGAAGGTTGTCTGCCTTGAACTCACGAGATGAGACTTTTAGTGAGACCACAGAAGCAGAAAGAAGTGGGATTTGCCCTTTGACTCAACTGGGATCCGTACACCTCTTATCATAAGAAAAACGATCTTTGAAAAATATAAGTCTGCCCGGTTTTTCTTTTTTCTAAACATATATAGATATATAGATGAAAGGAGATGCATATTCTGGGTCTGATGTCTTAAAACGAAACTGGGCCATGAGGAAGAAACATCAGCAGTTTGATGTCCCTGAAGGAACACCTCATTTGGTAAAAGAGCAACGGCAGAGACTTTAGAACAATGGGGATAAAAGTAGGAATTGATTCAAATGGAAAAATTTACTTCTTCTACTCCAGTCAACAAATTTGGAGAAAATGTTTTATTCTTAGCAAACACTGGCATGCATTCTTCATTTGTGTGTGTGTGTGTGTGTGTGTGTGTGTGTGTGTGTGTGTGAGAGAGAGAGAGAGAGAGAGAGAGAAAGTGGCATGTATGTGTACTTACATATCTGCACCCTTAATTTGTCCTCACTTTAATATACCTGTTGCCTCAGTAACAGAATTAGCTACTGTCCTTCTATTATGCCTTTCCAGATGTTAGTATGACCAAAAGGACCCAGCTTCCCAGTGGCCACGGTGCTGCAGACACAATCCGCTATTGCATTACATGGTCTTAGGGCATTTGCATTGCTAGCAGCAGAATACCATAGCCTTGGTGGGTTCTAAGCAGTGGAGGTGCTGGAGGCCAGGAAATCTAAGATTAAGGCCCTAGAGATTTATGACTACTGAGGTCCAGTTTTCTCATTTACAGATAGCTCTGTCTAACTGTGTCCTCACAAAGCAAAAGAGGCATGACAAGCATCAAGGGTCTCTTTCATTAGGACAGGAATACAAGGTGACTCTCTAATGTCACTTTGGTTATGTTTTCTACATACTAACGAGGTAGAGGACTGATATTCATACCATTGCATTCATCAGCCTATGAAGATGAGAAAAAAATTACAATATATTGTACTTCTTACACAAGCACTGGTCAATAGTGCAGGATTTAGTTCCTCTATATTTTTTATACATAAACCATTCATCAGCATAAAGTAAATGAAGTCTACCATTCCCAAGACTCTACTTAGTATGGGGACATAGCAAGGCACATATCCTAAGATATCTACCATCCACAAGAACACTATTTATGTAATCAGGCAAAACCTAGATAAGCAGGAAAAGACCACCAGATCCTATGGAGCATCAAAACAGTAGACAGCAGCTGGGTGATGTGGTGGCTGCAGACTCTGCCACGCTGGGCACCTTACAGACTGGGCTTTTGGATATGCTTGCATTAGAGAGTGATTTCTTCAATTCTTCCCCAAGAAAAACTACTCCGGTTTGGTGGAGCTGAGACAGAGTCTCACTGAAATACAAAAGGGTGAAACAAATGGCTTAGAATTGTTGAAGAACAGTTCTCTCTCTCTCAAAAAAAATAATAATAATAGAACCAGCAATAAAATGAACTGCCTAGTGGGGTGGTGGCACACCCCTGTTAATCAGCAGAAGCAGGTGGATCTCTGTGAGTTCGAGGCCAGCCTGGTCTACAGCACGAGTTCCAGGACAGGCTCCACCAAAGCTACACAGAGAGAAACCCTGTCTCAACAAACAAACAAACAAACAAACAGACAAATGACCTGTCTACACAGATGTGCGATTGTAGGGGCTAACATAGGGAGCCGTGTTCTGAGAATCCCGGTGTGGAGGCTGTCATTGGCAAAACCTTTGTTTTGAGTTTCTGTCTGATGTTAGGACTTTGAAGTCTTTTGATTTAATTTAACTTGGTCTCAATAAGGGCATACTCTACCTCCCAGAGGTTTTGGGGAGTGTGTGGATGCTGTTGAGGTTGCCAGGATAAGGACAGAAAGAAGAACAAACTGCCCTCCTTGACCACTCTCAGTCACAGGCTCCACCCCCACAGCAAAGGACAGGGGAGTAAAGAAAAGCGTAATAAGTCTCTTTACTCCAAGTTTTACACGGCGTGGAGCCTTCAGAATTGAAGGCCTCAAGTTCAGGGAAAACTGTTTTTATGTTTAGTTCTATGAAGACTTGACAGGCATGAAAAAATGGAACCTACCCATGAGCTGCGCCAGAGTGGATAGGCTGAGCGGGGAGCCAGAAAGGTCTGTCTGTTTGGGGTCTTCATGGTCTCAACAATTTGTCTTCTTCCCAGGGATAGGGAAAGGGCCCTGGAATGAGACTTCAAGAGTGAGGGGAGAGGAGATGGTGTGACCTTTGTGTGTCTCTGGCTTGCTTTGGGGCTGAGGTCCAGCTTCTATGACCTGCCTTGGGAGAAAAGAAGTTTTGGGGAAAGGAAGGACCAAGGGACAAGTGGTGGGGAGATAGTAACACCTTGCTTCCCAGGTCCTTCCAGTCTCTGTCAGTTCAAAGTATACAGCAGGCCACCATGCCATACCTTAGGGTATCGTGTTCTGAGAGCTGGTATTTCAAAACTGCTTAGCAGTCCTGGTGTTCAGTGGGCAGAAGATGCAGGAAAATGAGAGGTCATGCTATGAGCGAGACTGTCCAAGGACAGTTACCCAGCCCCAATAAGGCCACTGAGAAATAGCAACCAAATCCCAGCCTTAGGTAGCTTGTCAAGGCTAGCTCGATTCAGGAAATAACCAGGCCAGCTTAAAGATAAACAATTATATTTTTAATTGTTATAAGGGGTAACTCACACCACAAGAATGGGAAGTCCAAGTTCCTCTGTGTCGCCCAGAGAGAGAGAAAAAGAGAGAGAGAGAGAGAGAGAGAGAGAGAGAGAGAGAGAGAGAGAGAACGCACACCTGGTCCGTCTCAGTTTTTCTTCCTGGGTTCCAGGTAGCCACACCTTAACTAGGCATGATTAGTTAACAGAGCTTCCCCATCTTTGGGAGTAGCAAACTTAAAAGTCATTGAGGGTAGACCACTCCATCATAATCAACTTAAGGCTCTGTTTTCTCTTTTTTCTCTCTCTCTGTCCCTCTCTCCCTTCCTCACTCCTCCCTTCCTTCTTTCCTTTCTTTTTGTTGTTATTGTTTTGTTTTTCGAGACAGAGCAGCCCTGGCTGTCCTGGAACTCACTCTGTAGACCAGGCTGGCCTTTAACTCACAGAGATCCACCTGCCTCTGCTTCCCAGGTGCTAAGATTAAAGGCTTGCCCATCATTATTAATTATTAACATTATTAATATCCATTTTAAAGAAAGGGAAACAATTGCTCCCCTCCTCAAATTAGAAATAACCATATGAAAGGAAGAAGGTGGAGTGGAGGCCCTTTAAGGAAAGACTACACATCACAGGTAACAGCAGCTTTTAGGGTACTTTATACAATGTCATTTCAAGGTGACAAAGCACTTAGTAACCATTTAGACATTCTGAGAAGTGGCAGTTTATAGACAAAGGTAATGTGATGCATCGTAATTTTTGAACCAAATCCAGGTTTTTAGGAGCAGTATCAGAAAACATCAAAGACGAACCTTAGGCTTGCAAACTCAGTCTTTAACATTGTCAACCAAAAGCAATAAGGCCAACAAAGCCAAAGTTAGTGAGGTTCTGGGCTTTTTTTTTTTTTTTTTTGAAAGCACACTCTAAGTTTAGCTGACATTTAAATTAAAAAGCTCAGCAGTATAGCAGGGAGCTGATTGATTTGGAAAGCATGGATAGGAGCTAATGAGGGCTCTGCCAGGCTCCTCTTCGTGATGGGTAAGAAATGATCTATTCCCAACTAAAGGCAAAGCGGGCGAGGCAGCCCCTGTGTTGAACGTGAGGAATTTGCATGGCACTGAGCTGAAAAGTCACTGTCTCTTCTCTGCTCCTTGCAGCATATTTTCACATCAGCGCTGATCTGGGTTGGGAACAGGATCCTGGTAGGCATTTCATGTGTCAGACATTAGCGCTGCTTCTCTTAATTTCCCCGAAGCGCTTTAGACACACTTTCCTTATAGACACCCAAATAATGATTGATTCTGCAATGCATTGGCCTTATCCCCCCTGGTATGTGAGGGGTGTTTGAAAACCTTAGGTTGGCAAATTGAGTCGACCTTTGGTCCTTAGGAAACTTGACTTTCTTTTGAGAAAGTGCTGATTCTGTGCAGTCCTAAAGCATTATGCACTGAGGTGTGTGTGTGGGGGGGGGGTAGCTCTGTCCTGGGAGCTGGATCTCAAGCCCTTCAGGATCACCATAAAACTCTCCACATCAGTTGTCCCCATCCGTATAATGGCTCAATTGTAAAATTCATCCTCTCACTGAGGATTAACGAGGTGAGTCTTGTAAAGGACTTTCTTCAAGGATCAACTCCAAGTCTTTTAAATCCTCTGGAATAAAACTACTCCCAGGAATATTAATCCAGAAGTCTGATTGGCCAGACCATCTAGAAGGTCCGTGGGAGGGGGGGGACAGTAGAAGGGAACCATTCCTTTCATTTTCCAGAAAAAAAAAAGAAAAAAAAACCCGTGGCTGCTCATTTTATTTATTACAGGGAGGCAAAAGCAGGAGGACTGTCCCAATTGTCGCACCAGTAGGCATGGATTTAGCTGACAATGAGCTCTGTCCTTTTAATCTGGTTCCATTCATTGTTCTGAATCAACCTAAAGTCTGTCTCCTTTCAAGAAGTCATTCCCTCTCAGAATCAGACTTGGAACAGGATTTTAGTCTGCTAAATTGTATCCTGGAACTTCTTTTGAGAAAGCAGATTGTTCCTGAACATGTAAAAAGGATCAGAAAAAGAATTTCATAGAAGCTTGGAGTATCAACAACATTTTTTTTAGAGTCCCCCCGGGTCCTTGGAATGTGGTATATATCATACTAATTGGACATTTTTCTAGACAGATCTATGTGGAAGGACTCTTAGGGTATTTATCTTAATTTGCTCCTTGGAGAAATATTTAATTATCATTTTTTTTTTTTTTGGTGATTCTTAAGTTGGTCGCTGTTAGTCTGTGTCTGACGATAAACTCTCTCCTCCTTGATTTTCCCTCTGGGACCCATCTGACTCTCGGGCAGTTTAATGAAAGACAAGGGTCCGTCAATATCACTTAAGGAGCCATAGCAACTCTGCTAATTGCCACCAGCCAGAGCGCAGCTCAGTGCCTGGA